GTTTTATAAAAGAGTAGAAGCATACTGGATGTCTCAAAAGAAACACAAAAATCATAGCACCTTCTATAATTAAAATTCGACATAAAGGTAGGTAAGTAAGTGTTTTGAAATGATTTCTTTTTCGATTTTCTCATTTTATTTCACGGAGCTGTGACATGATTTTGTTTAATTTTCTTAAAAACAGTTCGAGAAAAATTAGAATTAGGTATTATTAATTAAGTACTGGATTTTTATTTAAATTAACTAACTTTTTAAAAATTGTGAATTTATTATCGAGGAATCGCAGATAGTAATCCGAAAAATACTTATACCTACTTATCGTTAGTAATTCTTCTGTGCAAATTTTATTAGTTAACGATGGATTTTTATTCGATCAATAAAAACTTGAAACAATTCTTGCATTTAAGCCTCTTATTAAAAACAAGAATGTAAAAAAATATTGGCTCTACTTGATGTGAAAGTCGCCTAAAAAATGTGTGCACCTTGGCCGTATGATAATTTTTATCCTAACCAGAAGTTGCAAATTTATAATTCGGCCAAAAAAGATCAACTTTACGGCCTTACTACACAAATAACTATTTTGGACGGTTAAAATGAATATATTTATTTCTGTTGGCTACCAATGTACAGTGAGGACAAAGGGATACATTAATTTTCTGTCTTATTACTAATTAATTTTTAAAGAAAATCCTCTAATGTAAATTTGTATTTTTGAATGCGACAGTATTTCAATTAATTGTGTAGGTACCTACTTCTTCAAACCCCTTGAACTGACAACTACCGCCTTTTCATTTTTAAATGAAATAAGTGATCATGTCATACCTCATTTTAAAGGGGATATTATTCGTATCAGTAATAGAAGTTTTTTTAAAATTTTCACATTTTTCTATCTGAAGAAGCATAACTGTAAATCCAGCAAATCTCCCCAAAAATAGCTGAACATGTTTTATAAGAATCTGAAAAATTATTTCATTTTAATTTTTTTTATATATAATAAAATACACCATGTAAGACTGCTTGTTAAAAATTAGAAAAATACAAACAAAAATCCCTATGTGACTGAATAAAGAATTAAAAACTTTTTAAAATGAGGTATCAAATCCCTCATTTTATTTAAAAATTTGAATTGGTTGCTGTCACTCCTAAGCGGTTGAAGTAAGAGGTACATAATTATGTTAAAATATTGTCATTTTAGAAATCAAAATTGACCTGTTTCAGCAATTTAAATTTATAATTTACTTACTCTATTAAATTTACAATGTTCTGTTTATTGGCTGTTTTTAACAGCAACGATTTTTTCATCAGCGTCGATTTTTTTGGATCGATTACCTGTTTTGGAAGGAAACCGTCTGGTTTTCATGCCAAAAATTTCGTAAACAAATCAGATACCTAGCCCAAATTTTTAAAAGTAAATACTGAAGAAAATACAAGCAATAAGTAACCTTTTAAGTCATTTAAAAACAAAAGTACCTATAAATTACCTGTTTTAGACATGCCTATTATCTTTCACAAAAAATGTTTAATAATTAAAAAAAATATTAAATCAATCCAAAATACACTAATATTACACACAATGTTTCAGCTTCAGAAGCAAAGAGGAAAATAAGCTTTAGTACTTTTTGGCTTGTATAAATACAAAATGATAATCCTTTACGGCATACCAACAAAGGGCATTATACCTTCTTTGATATTAGCGAAATAAAAAACTTTCTTGCGACACGTGCGGTCTAGGATATATTCCGGGTATCCTATAGGATTCTGGCCAGCTATTGTCTAAATGACTTAATAGCATCAAATCAACCTTCGCCGAACCACCCCGTAGAAACCATCCCTAGCCGAGCGGCTAGCGTGAGATTAGTGTACATCCGCGTTCTCGCAACAGTTAAGCCGTGATATCTCCAGTCACGTCGTGGATGGTTGTCGGCTGGGACGATTACCATAGGGTATGCCACCATGTGATTTAGTCAACAAGCGTTTAATTATCGACGATGTGAAATTAATAACGGTGAATGAGTAAGTAATTGAGAAAATAGTGGCACGTTCAAATGGTGGTACAATAAACTGCAAGCTGCAGTGACACCACGCTACAAATTGATTAGGGTAATACTACGGAGGGTCCAATGGGTGTAAAATAAGATAAAACCATTCCTAGCATTCATTTTTCAATTTCAAGCTCATGTTTTTTTGTTAATATGATCAAATAAAATGGTAAAAAAGGCTGACTTAACAATGGAAATATTTTACTATGTAATACAAATTTAATTTCTTATTTTTGTAGGCGGTAGTTTAAATCAACCGCTTGTCAAACCACGCACCCATTAGAAACAGGTTAAATGAGTCTGTTATTTACAATTTTGACCAATACATCGTATAATATCGTTGACATGAAGCGAAAAATGTATTATATTATAAAAAAGTGTGGTGGTGTGGTTTGAAACATAAATGATAATGGTGGTTTCTAGCGGGTAGTTTTATAAGAGGTTGATTTGGGTTCATCAGGTAAAACACTTTCATCCCTTTTAACAGTTATCCAGAAACATATGGGACAACTGGTATATACATTATTGTATTTTAGTATAATATTGTTTAAATTTAGTATTCTGTGTGATTCGCGTTGTTCTTTTAGCGGTTTGTTTCATGACATGCCGAAAACAAAAAGCATATTTTTTGTTGAAGAAAATTGTATCCTCGGTTTCAAAGCGGTAACGCCTTATAGGTATACCGCCATCAACGAAAAAACTTTAAAGCGGCCGCCAAAATGGGTTTAAACTATCCCGCAATCGCTGCCAAGTGTGGCTCGAATTTAGTTAGTCATATAAGAATTTTGTTAAAAAGAGAGATAAAATGATCTAGGCAAGTTGTATTAAACAAATATAAAGGAATACCGCAAATTCAAAAAAGGTCGGCCACTGCTTGAAGTACTCGAAAACAATTGGTGTACAAAACGAATTGTTAGTGGGAAGTCAACTAGCTAAAAACATCAACAAATCGACCTCTTTAATTTACCGCCCATACACGGAGATATGAGTCCCCTAAATGCAAAACTCGGTATTTGCTAGTTACAAATTTTTTCAGGAAGGGCAAAAAACTGTTAGTAAATAAAATACATTATGTATTCGGTTTAAATTTTGTTTTTAGTTGGTTCTGGTGATTTTGTTTTGAAATAACTATGCTCTTTAATCTGAAATCCTACCAAAAATTTAAAAAAAATACCGAGTTTTGCATTTATGTTTTAAAAAAACCTAGTTTTGCAACTCACAATTGCAAATACCGATAAGTGCATGGTTGTCTTATTTTAGAAAATTTATTTTATTATATTTTTTTTTAATTAAAGATACAAAAATATAAATTAAAACATTTTTATTAGATGTAAACTGCAAAAACTCGCAAAAACAAGCGAAATTACTTCTGGCCTCTTCAGAATCCAAACAACAAATGAATAAGGTAAAATATCTACGTGCCCATACACTTACTTAATCACGTGACTATTAGACGTAACGCCATTGGCAGCAGGTTACAATTGCGTAGTTTTGCATTTGACAAGTGAAGGCAAATACAGAGTTCTGCATCTAGTCTTCGTTTTCTAAAGCGTTTTTAATGCAGAAATAGGGAGTTTTGCTTCTTATTTTAGGAGAAGAATGGTAGAGTTTGAAATAAGGAATTGAATGGCGCTAAAACATTACTCTTGAAAATTTCGTCAAATACCGAGTTTTGCATTTAGGGGACTCATATATTGTTTTACTTAAAATGTTATTCGTATATTATTCCTCATTGAGTCAAAAAAATACTTGATTTCAATTCTTTTTTCCGCATTGAATAATGATTTTTTATTTCACTTATTAATTAATATAATTAATCTTAGAAATTGAAATGTTTGTTGAATATGTTTTTTTTGCAATGAGCCTATCCGAAATTTATTCTTAGTAAGTATTTAATAAAAATTTTCTTCTAATTTGTCTTACAAAGTAACATTGTAATCTAAAGTGTCCAAATAATCCATACCCACTTTAAGTAACTAGTTACATAAATTAAACTGGTTGTCATAATTATGTTCATTATTAAAAAAGAAAATAAATTTAAAAAAAAAAACATGTTTGGTATGTAAATTAATATATGTATAGGTACCTCTATTGCTTTTGAAAGTATATATAGGAAGAACGAAGATTGGTTATATAAAAATACATTTGGACAATGTGCTAAGGTACAATTAGTAATAATTCTGGTTCATTCGCTATTTTAAAAAGTCATCCTAAACCTGAACAAAATAATCGAAACACTGTTTCACTCAATACACGAGAAAAAATTTAATTATAAATTAAAATATCCCTAACTATGTACTATGCAAAATAACCCATTTTCTTGACAAGAAAAAAGAAAACTGTTTGTGATGATAAATATTTAAATATTTTAAAAGTATCAGATTGGTGTGAAGTTGACTATTATTTACAAATATTAATTTTCTAATATCTTTGATTGGAAGTACACAAAATTATCGGCTAGTCCTTTTTTTCCAAACAATTCTATAAATAGAAAAAATTTAAACAAACTAACCAATATTAATAGCAGAAGCTTCCGTTCAAATTAGGGAAAATAATTTTGAGAACGTTTTTAGTTTATCGCCGTTATGACGGGTTCGAATATAAGATATGTAACGGTTCCCGATCGCCGAGGAGGTCGTATTAAACTGCCGCCTTAAGATTTCTTATAAATATCCAAAAACATTTAATATTATAAAGAAAAAGGTGTTCTCTATCGATAATGAATGTCAATAACTTATTTTTTTGTAATTCAATGGCCAATAAGTTTGCATTTGCATTTATTAATTTAATTTTCTTCCTTCTTTGTACACTTCAAATTGGGTACATACTTGAATTGGCAGTTTCATTGAATTAAATGTATTTATTAAAATAAAAGAATACAAGTTACTTAATCAAACAAAAGGAACAATTATTTATTCATATAAAAAAATACAAAACTAATTCAAATTAGTAATAATAAAGTTCATTATTTATTCTGACAATGTATTGTCTATAACGTAAAAAATATTAGATGTAGTTCCCAACTTTAATCTGGATATATGTTGAGATTTTAAGATTTATCAATTATTTAATTTTCCCTTTTAACTTTATATAAACAATGTAAAGGTACAATAACTTTTCTTTATAAGACAAAGAAATGAAAAAGAAACGATAAGAAAGTGTCTCTAAATGTAATTTTATCTAAAAATTTTGTATATACAATAAAATAATATTAAAGATCTTTTTCTAAAAATTCCATACTATGTTTGTAGGCCATTATAAATTAATTGTAAACCGCTTTACATCTACATAGACAAAACATCGTTAGAATAATAAAATATTGTTAATAAAAAAATAATAATAATTCCACAAATATTAAACACAATTAAAACTTAAAATTAAACTTTCCCATATAACAAACTAACTATAAATTCCTATTAAATTATATAATATTAATTCTTATAAACTATTATACCTACATAAAAAAACAATTTTTGAAAAAAGAGAAAAATATGATAGTATTTAACTGCTATTCTCACCATCCTCATCTTTATCGACTTCGGTTGCGTTAATAATTTTATTGTGGATAGTCCTCAAATGCCTCAAAAGGTTACTTTTCACATTGAAGGTCTTGGAACAAAAGTCACAAGAAAACGGTTTCTCTCCAGTATGGCTACGTTTATGGATAAGCATGGAAGCGTTTGATGGAAATGTTTTGTTGCATTCGGTACAGAGTTTTCCTTGTTCAGAATTTTGAGAACTTTGTGGAATATCTTTGAATTTGTAGCCCTTAACAGTGTCAATGTTTTGTTTGTTGGATAGATGTAGTTCGAATTCAGTGTGGGCACTCTGAATGTGCTTAACCCAATCGGCTGGAGTGGAGAAACCTTTCTGGCAAAGATCGCACATTAGTTCTGGAAACGTATCGTTCTCGTAGGAATCCTGAAATTTTTAATTCATTAACCAAAATTAATAATAAACTATGTTTTTTATGCAAGGGCAAAAGTAAAAGATTTTAACTCGAGTTGTGTCTTAAATATTAAAAAAAACCTAATATATTGTTGTTAAATAGGTAATCCAGTGATCCATACATCATTGATTATAATGACAGAATGTCAATTTGTTTTCTTTAGTAAGTAAGGTTAATATAAAACACATGGTGTAAGGTGTAATACCTAATAAAGAATTACTTGTACAATAAAGTATTAACAAGTAGTAAATATTGTATAAATTATTAAAACAACATATAATATAGTCAGAAAATTAGTCATTGTGCAATTTGAATGTTTAAACTAGTAATATCTTATTGTAACTACCATTGACGTTGCTAATTTAATTCTTTGGAAAGTTATTCTTGTTTTCATAATAGACAAAGATTCCGATGCTCTGAGTTTTCTTTTACTCCATCGGGATTTTTTTCCTGGGCTCGTCTGATTATGTCTCCGAAACACTGAAGCCTATTGGCTTATTGTGTTTTATCCCATGTTAGTTCATAGCTCCCACTCTGTCACCTTTGTACCTTGTACCATGTATGAGTTCCCCATTGTACATGCCAATTTTGTTCAAGTGTCCCTTTACTGGAGCGTGCCCAGTCATGAACCCTGTTATCACTTTCAACTGGTTTCCTTTTCATAAAGAGTAGTTCTCCAGTTCTTTTGGGACATGGTCTGCCTATGAAGGCTTTTCCATGTGCCTGTTTTGGGGTCCTTCCCCAATAGTTGATATGTTGTTTCCGAATCCAGTCGTTTATGAAACCCTGGACTGTACTTTTTGGTACTTCTGGGTTTGTGTCTGGTTTAGGTGTTTCTTCTGACCCTCTTTTTGCAAGTTCGTCAGCCTTTTCGTTGCCTTCAATCCCTTGCAAAATAGTTTTACTCTATTTCGGTCTGCCAGTGTTCTTAGTTCTTCAATGCATTCCCATACCAGCCTCGACGTAACTTTCTGACTCGATATGGCCTTAAGTGCCGTTTGGCTGTCTATTTGAATGTGCTGATTTTCGACAGCTCTTTCATTGTTCGTCGTGTGCACCACAGCCGTATGATCTTTTTTGGGCCTAACCAGAAGTTGCTTGGCCTCAGCTACGTCTTGGTCACAAATTTCTAATTCGGCCAAAAAAGATAAACTTTACGGCCTTGGTACACAAATAACTATTCTAATGTCAAAATATAATAAGCAAACGTTTTTAAAAGTATTTTAGTAGCCCTTAGTTACACATACACAGCTACCACTTTTTTATCCAAGCTTTTCCATTTTTAACAGTTTAAGGGAACAAATACACTAAGCGTAAATCACAGAAAAAAATTAAACTCGTTAACTGCAAACATACACAATCATACGTAAACAGCTTACACTCGACGTCTTGAAATGGCAACTTTGCGTAATTAAATTCTGGCATCAATGTAGCGGAACCCAAAACAATAGTGATATGACGTGCGTCAACTGAGATGCGCGGACTCTTACCGCCAAGGCAAGTTACACAAACACCGAGCTTATTCTATAATTGTTACTTGTTTTTTTTTGTATCACATAGTGAAGAGGTGGGAGTCTCCTATTAGTGCTTCCAATGCAGCAGTGGGGGTTGTTTTCATTGCCCCCGTTATTCCGAGGCAGGCAAGTCTTTGTACCTTGCTTAGCCTCGGTATTGCTTTCCTTTGCTGTATCTTTGACCACCACACCAAAGCTGCGTATGTTATTATCGGTCTCACCACCGTGTTATTAAGCCAATATACCATGTCTGGTTTTAACCCCCATTTTTTTTCCAAAGGATCGCTTTGCCATCATTAACGAGGTTTCCGCTCTCCTTGTGGTTTTTTCTAGATGCTGGTTCCAGGTAAGTCTCGAGTCAATTATAACCCCGAGATATTTTACTTCCCCCCCTTTTTTCCCCTGGGCTCGTCTGACTATGTGTCTCCGAATAACACTGAAGCCTATTGGCTTATTGTGTTTTACCACATGTTAGTTCATAGCACCCACTCTACCACCTTTGCACCTTGTACAAGTTTGTACAGATCCTTAAGCTGGATGCTTGAACCTCTTAGGTTTAGAGGCCCTAGTCCCTCCAATTTCCTCCTGAATTCAATTATGTCAGATTTGTTTTGGCTAATGTTTAGTCCTTCCGCCTCTGTCCATTTTGTTAGTATTCCATCGTTATTAATAAAAGATACAAAAGAATTATTTTAAAACCAAGTAAATCCCGAAAATTTTTAGAAAATATTTAAACCATTGTGTTTGCGCCTCATTTATGAACTACCATTTGTATTTATGTATACTTGTAAAAAATGATTGTCAACAATAGGTACCTACAACTTTCGTATTAAAAATTTTGTTTCGAATTTCTAATAATAAAACAGCTATTGAGTAATTACGCACTGATGAGAGTGATATGTATTATAGGCTAACACGTTGGTATTGCTGGATACCAAAATAATATGCACGGTGTTGTATTTGAAAAAGCAAGTAAATTTAACTTAAAATGACTTCTATATAACTTTTATTTAAAACTTTATGCATTAATGGGACACCCTGTATAAAACGTATCCAAAAATAAAAATATAAAGAATTACTCACACTTCCGCCTGTACTGTCTCGTCTTCTCCTTTTAGCCGGTAACATATCTGTGTGCGTTTGAACGTGTCTCACCCATTCTCTTGGAATCGTAAATGTCTCGGTGCATAATTCACAAGTCAACGGCGAAAACATCTTGTCTTCTTCTTCGAAACTAGCATCTTCGTGCTCAGATTTGCACTGAATATCATCAAACTCATCTGTAGATTCGACCACTTCCATTGCACCTTCGCTCCAATCCACAGGTTCATCTGAATTTAAAAAAGAAACGTTCGATATCGAATCAATCAAAACCAAGATATCATTGAACTTCCCAGGTTAATACCTCTACCTATTTTTAAGGCTTTGCAGTTATTAATGTACAAACTTTTCTTGCTTTGGATTATATGTAAAGCATGTTATGTTAGGATAGAAAAAATTATTTTTATATTAGATATATCACAAAAGAGTGTCATACACATCAGTATTTCAACCCAACTCAATTTTTTCGCAAGGTCCGCGCATTAGAACTGCGTCGATTGCGCCGCCATTTTCTCAGGATCAATTCAAGAGTTGTTAAGGATGTGCTATGATTGCCATAATCAGATTATTAATGCCAAAATGATGTTTCATCAAATTGATATTAAAATATTCTCGAGATTTAGACCCAACAAAAATAGCTGATTATTATCAAGGCCTTAGTATATTACTCTTGAATATTTATTATATATGCAAAGATTTACGTGACTTTAGTTTTGAAATTTAAACTGATAATAATCAGCCTAAAAAAAGAACATTATTATTATTATTATTGTTATTATTATTATTTTATTTACCTTTAATCATTAAATATTGAAGATTGTTTTCTCTAATACCGCTAGGTTCTGTTTTTATCACATTTTCAGTTTTTTCAATTTCGTCCTTAGTCGTCCTTTTTTTGAGTGTCTCCTGTTGCGAGTTGGGCATCAATGTAAAATTTAAAACTTTATTTTTTGTTTTTCCTGTCGTATACACCTGCTGTTGGTCCTTAGGTTTTTGGAGAACCAAAAATTTCTGAACAATTTTCGGAGGAACTTTTGCAGTGGAAGCCGTAGCAGAAGTTGTAGATGTCGATGTCGTTGTCGTCACGATAGTGCTACTTGGGGTTGATTTTTTCGTTATTTTTTGATTCGCTGTGGAGGTGGGTACCAAAGGTGGTGGAGAAGCTGGTATTACGGGGGTTGGAGTAGTGGCAGGAGTACTGGTTGGTGTGGGATTTAGGGGAGAAAGAAGTGGTTGATTGTGTGGATTTATTTTCATCATTTTTTCGTTGTCTTCTTTTTCTCTAAAACAAAACAGAAAACATCTAACTGGATTCGAATTAAAATGCCATTATAAATAATATTTTCTTACCTAAAAAGTCCTTTGATTTGTAGTATATCTCCTCCTTGAAGAACACTTTTCAGAATTTCTTTGGGTACTTTGGCTTCTCCACTATACATGTATCTCAAAAGAACTTTTAAAGCCTTATAGTCAATTTCTGGTGGCATTACAATCATCAACGGAAGAGCTGTTGTGACCTTTCGTTGGTATTTCAACACCTGCAATAGTAATTTACATTTTAAGTCCAGTAAGAGTCCGACATATAATTGAATATTTAATTTCGTTCATAAGACTTATTAAAATAAATAAAAAGTTAAATTTAAGAAATATTAGTTGCCAATTTAGCAATCTCATGACCTTACAATTATGATTGTACTATCAAATATAATATCATAGTTTTTGCATTGTTTTATATCATGGAGATTTCGGAGGAATATTAATTTCTATGGGAAATCACATAACTGATAATTAACTATCAAATATTACAATGAGAGTACCACAAGTATCAATATTAGGGTCAATATTTTTTATATCTGTATCAGTCTCAATCAGATTATGCAATATTATGCTGATGATAAAGTTTAATATTGTAGAGATAATAATAACTCAATACTATACCATTGTAATTAAAGTAATAATGCGTTTTTTAAGTGTACCTGTGCAAAATAACGGCTACTGTAAGACAAAACATAACGGTGAGCCATGACTTGATGGCCATCCATTGTCACTAGAGCAACGTCTGCGTACGAATCGTTGTATAAAGACGTGGAAATGCATGAATGCATGTAAGAACCATAAAAATTCCATTTCAGCTGGTAGGTCTCGCAAAGTTCCGCTTGCTGGTCCATGACTGAAAAAATAAAATAACGTGTATAATTGTATATACAGGGTGATTCACATAAGAACCGACATAGAGCAGGGGCATATAGGGGGTCCCAAAATATGGCAATTTAACGCAACTTACCTCTATACCAAGTTGCTTCCCTAAGGAGTTATAGGCTTTGAAAGTGAAGTTATAAATTTTGAAAAAAATCAATATCTCCGTTATTCTTGAACTTAAAGCAACCAAATTTGGTACATTTTGTGGATGTATTTAGGGCGTTACTTGACAGTAACTAGAGTTTAATTGAAATTTGTAAAGGGGGTATACTGGGTGGCGCACCATTAATATTCAACAGAATTTTGTTAACCCTTGATGGATTTTAAAAATCTTTGCTTTGTTTTGTGGGCAATTCAATTCTTAAACTTTTCTTACTCCAGTAATTTTTCGAAAAAACTCATCATTTTCATCAAAAACTCGAATAACTTAAAACGCGCGCTCTAGGTGTGTTATTTAAAATGAGCGAAAATTCAAAAGTTGGCTATGAAAATAAACGTCAAACAAGAAAGTAGGTCATTTAATGTGATCAGTAGGAATTGGCTGGCAAATTATTATTTAGATACGTAACAAAATAACTTAAAGTAAGTACAGATACTGAAATGTGAAAAACTGGGATTAACAACTAACCAAAATAAACACAAAAAACTTAAACAACAACCAGAACAAACAATTGTTTATCGATAAATTAAAGAAATTGTTCAAAATGATCGCCGTTTTCTCTTACGCATAAATTTATTCTTCTTCGAAAATTAAAATCCACCCTATCTAATAACTGTTGATTATTCCTAATAGATGTGCATTTATGAATAATGCGATTCCATAATTCTTCTTGAGACGCAACGGGCGAAGAATACACAAATTCTTTCAACGTTCCCCACAGAAAGAAGTCACATTTGTTCAGGTCAGGTGATCTTGGGGGCCAACGTTGTGGGCAATTATTTCCTCTTCCTATCCATCTATTGGGATACTGGTGGTTTAAAAAATTTTTTACGTTCATACTAAAATGAGGCGGTGCTCCATCGTGCATAAACCAATGTTGCAACCTTAGTTGTAAAGGTACCTCGTCAAGTAGATACGGAAGGGTGTTTTGTAGAAATTCTAAATAATTTTCACCATTCAGCCGATTCGGTAAAACAACAGGACCAATTAAATATCGATCAATAATTCCCATCCAAACATTAATTTTGAATTCACGTTGGAAATGCCGAGGAGTTATTGCATGTGGGTTTACGTCAGAATACTCATGATAGTTATGGAGATTTGTGATACCTCTGCGAGTGAAAGTCGCCTCATCCGTAAAAAGAATTTTCTTTTGGAAGTTATTATCTTGGTGTAGAATAAACTGACAAAAATTGACACGTTGAACCAAATCTCCGGGTAAAAGTTCTTGGACTTTTTGTACATGATAAGGGTGTAGTAGATTGCGACGGATAACTCGATGCACAGAACTCTGCGATATACCAATTTGTCGAGATAAATTCCTAGTACTAATATGTGGATCATCTTGAATAGCATTTAAAATGGCTACCTCAACTTGTGGCCTGAGTGCGACAGCACGTTCTCGAGTATTATTGAGAAACTTGCCCGTTTCTCTAGCTCGTCTTTCAACATTAGAAAATGTTTCTCTATGGGGAATGATACGGTTAGGAAATCTTCTACGATATTCTTCTACACTTCTTCTACAGTTTCCTTCACAAAAACCTAGCACTAACAGCATGTCAACTTGCTCGTTAAAAGAAAACTTCCCGTTCATTTTAAAAACACTCAAACAACAATTACTTAATTGAACAACTTACTTGCTTCATTGTCAAGTTTGACGTTTATTTTCATAGCCAACTTTTGAATTTTCGATGATTTTAAATAACACACCTAGAGCGCACGTTTTAAGTTATTCGAGTTTTTGATGAAAATGATGAGTTTTTTCGAAAAATTACTAGAGTAAGAAAAGTTTAAGAATTGAATTGCACACAAAACAAAGCAAAGATTTTTAAAATCCATCAAGGGTTAACAAAATTCTGTTGAATATTAATGGTGCGCCACCCAGTATACCCCCTTTACAAATTTCAATTAAACTCTAGTTACTGTCAAGTAACGCCCTAAATACATCCACAAAGTGTACCAAATTTGGTTGCTTTAAGTTCAAGAATAACGGAGATATTGTTTTTTTTCAAAATTTATAACTTCACTTTCAAAGCCTATAACTCCTTAGGGAAGCAACTTGGTATAGAGGTAAGTTGCGTTAAATTGCCATATTTTGGGACCCCCTATATGCCCCTGCTCTATGTCGGTTCTAATGTGAATCACCCTGTATAATTGAACTATAAAGTGTATAACAATAGCAACTATATAACAACGGAAAAAATAACTTGCAGTAAAAATAATATCATGTTTGACTTAAAGAAGAAAATTATACGGCCTTCAGAGTTGACACTCTATTTGCAATGTTTTTGGAAACACTTTATATTAGGGATAGATACAGATTGTATAAGTAAAATTGCTAAAAAATTATTTTCACAAAATACCAGTTCTAGTTAATTTTATTGTCGATATTTTATTAAAGTAATTTTCTTTGTCAAATTATTAATGTAAAAAAAAATATTTGCGCCGCAAATTAAAATAATTAACGAGACGATACATCACAACGTCGGCAGTGCATTTAATTAAATAATTTTGGATTCTGTTTGAGGTACCTCGGAAAGTCGTCGAATCAATTAAATGATTTTTTAGGGTATCATCGTATTTTGCTAAAAAAACAAATTGGAATTGGAAGATGAGCCGGCTTTTTCAAGACGCGCTTCCGTCGACGGACTCGAAGCTAAATTAAATCACTTGCTTCTAAAAAAATAATCCCGATAGGATAGTTTATATACCTATAATTTTTTTACTTTCTTATCCCAACGGGATAGTGTATGAGTAAATAACAAAAATTTACATCAACGATATAGAAAAAGATAATCTTTTTTATACTGTATACAGATAGGAAAGTAAAAATTAAATTTATCTTTTTTTGAAAACATGGATCTAGCAATCAGTATGTAGGTATATAGAATTAATAAATACAAATAAAAAACTCGTTTTTAAAAAATTTTAAAAATAAATAATTACTTATTGCTTTTAATTACTATTTAAATAAAATAAATAATATAACTATATTATTTTTTTTTTGTACTAAAATATTGATCTTCCCTCGTTTCCGTATCCAGATAGAAATGATTCTACGCTAAAAACTCCGAGTAGCAAATAAGAAATTCAACAGATCGATAATTCATTTTGGCGAGTAGATTATTTTACCAAATATTTGACTACAGGCACTATTGGTTAGGCAGTCCCGCAGTACAGAATTTGATCGCAAATCCTTTGAAGACTCTGTCCTTTTTTTGCTGAACCCTTATATTTTCATTCCATTATCTAAAATTCACTGAGCGTTAACGGTTAGTCAAAAACGTCACTGAAACAGACCCTTATATTTTGATCCCAAGATCCTGACTAATGAAATTTCCTGTAAAAATTATTTATATGCCACAAATCAAAATTATTAATAGGACATTCTGTATAAAAAACGCGCGCCGTTCATAAAAATTATGATTTCAAATTTTCAAGATAATTTCCAAACAGTAAAAATATCTAAAACTGCATTTTCAAATACTTAGTTAGCTCTTTGTTTATTTTTTACTTTTATTGAATAGAGATTTATGATCCCATAATGATAAATAATTTTTAATCGATATTCCTTTTTATTCACACTGTAATAAATATAATTTATATTGTATATTGTACCTATATTTTAAAGAAATTTATTTATAATATCTAAAGGTAGGTATTTACAATCCAAATTTCAACTAAAATGTATTTGCGGCATTCTAGTGACAAGGATCGACTTCCATCCACTGGTATGGATTTTATTACGCCGCGCCGTGTGTGCTGGCAAAACGCATGCAACACCGTGGTATTATTTCATCGGATTTCAAATTCCGGTCGCATCGATCGTTTCTGCTTTTTTTTTCGACAAAGTAAAAAACAAAAAAATGTACTTACTTTATTTTAGCGCGAAGAGATCCAAAAACAGACCTTAACTCACAAAACACTCTTTCAAAACAGTTCTATGGTAATGCGATGCGGAAATGTGCAGCGAAGGCCCTAAAGAAAATCGATATTATCGGTGGCCTCAACCGCCATTGATTTCCAACAGCCAATCCAGAAACGGCGTTTATACTATCGATCTGACAATGTTCGAACGGCGCATCGCTCGATTCTTGTTCATTGATGTTATTATACAGGGTAGAAAGAGAAATCCGAAATTTAGATCCGTTTTGTAGCAGGTATAAGATATTTTGTATGTTTAAGATAAGAACTCAGGTCTGCATCGAGTGTGCTTTCCAAAACAATTTTGAATTTTAATCGATATTAAATTTATTATTTAAAAATACTGTCTTTACCATTTCATCTGGTTTTTAAATACAGGATGTCCCAGTGAAAATATTTCATTTTAACGGGAGAGAAGACATATTTAGTGATAAACAAAATTGTTAACATGACTTTTTAATTTTACAACTTGTCGTGTCTCTACAAGAAATTAATTTACATGTACATTTCCGACAACTATTAATTTATAATGTGATCTATAAAATAAATAATACCCCACCATACATTATTATTTTTTTTTTTATAAAATCCTCACCTTTAAACAAATTATTAGTAGACAATTTTAATTAAAATTCCCGGTATATCAACTTTTATATTTTTATTTATGAAGAAATTCTTTCACTATACGTGTGCGTACCTATTAGAACTTACATTTATGAGAATTTGATAATATTTTTAAAATTTTGAATAAAAAGAGTTTGTGGTTTGTTCTATGTAGATTGTTTGTTCTGCAAAGATTTCGTAAATATATTTTTTGAGATAAATTTTAACCAAATAGTCTGCAGTTACATACCTCCATTCGCAAGTTTTTTGAATTGTCAACACAATGGGTTTATAAATACATTAACTTCTTTATTCAAAGAATGACACTTCTAACTTTATATTGTTTTTCTTGTTTTAAAACACTTTAGGTTTCTATTTTTTTGTACAAAACACTTTTATGTTTTTTAATCTTTCTTAAAACTTAAATTAAGTAAAGTTTAAATGAATTAATTAAAACTTATAAATAACTATAATAATAATAATAATAATAATAATAATAATAATAATAATTTATTCCCAACAAACATTTACAAAGTATGTACAGATTAAAAATTTTATGAGTATTTCCAGGTAAGTACCCGAAAGTTTGACCTGTTCTTTGGGGAAATATCAACTGGTTAAATGAAATGAAAAATAATGTACAACTTTTTAATTAAATAATAATGGAGAATTTTTTGTATGATTGAGAGCAGAATTAAACTTCTTCATTAATGGAGTCTAATGTGGCTATTATAAACCTAGTAATAATTTTATATTACACTTCACACAGAAAATATGGTGTATGTATAATAAGAGGGTTATTTAGCTCAAATAAAATAATATTTTCTAACATAAAAATTTGTTCCATGTAGAGAATTTCAAAGGAAAAATAAAAAATTGAACTTGCCAACAAAAATGAAAATCAGTCATTATCATCCAAAATATCATAATCGTCATCATCATCACTGTCATCACCATTAATTGTTATTATGATTGGACTTATTTCGTTTATTTTATTTTCACGAGTCCACCAATCTTCTATTAGTTTCTCGCACTTGGATATACAGTTATGCCACACTTCTGGAGTTACAATTGAAAGTGCTTTTCGCCAAGTTTCCCGAACTGCGTCGTCACTATAACCATTATGCCCAATATGTTTGTCATAATATTGTTTTGCTATTCCCCATATATATTCGATGGGATTAAACTGGCAATAATACGGTGGCAGACGTAAAACTTGATGACCGTAACTTTCAATAATCTGATCCACAACAAAGGTTTTTGGTTTTGCGTGTATATTTGCCAAGCGTAATAATTCTGATTTTAATATATATATTGAGGAAATGGTATATGTTCCTTTGTCAACCATTCTTTAATTTTATCAACAGTCCAAGAATTCGTTGGACTTTTGTTTAATACTTCAGAATGGTAAGGTGCATTGTCTAAAATAATTACGCTGGACTCACTTAAACATGGGAGAAGTTTTTCATGCAACCATTTTACAAACATTTCTGTGTTCATATTATCGTGATAGTCACTGGGTTTTGATTTAGATGAAAGTATTAAATCAGCACCTTCTATAAAACCTGATTTCCCTCCTGCATGTACAATTATGTGTCGCTTCCCTTCTCCATCGGTATGTTTGATGGACTTTACGTTATCAGTTTGAAATAACCAAAAAAGGTTGACAGCTGTGTGCACGTAGTTTAGATTCAAAAGGAAAGACTTGTATTTTGTGCAAAACTTTTTAATTAATAAATGCAAAGCGCTTTCGGCTTATTAGCCATCATCAGTGCTTATCTACAAAAATTGTGGATGTAAACTTACAATTTAAAAAATATAAATCTGATTAAGACTTTTAAGTCAAGAGTTAAAATTGTATATATACGGTTGTTTGAACAAATCAACAATTAAAAGATACAAACAAAGTGACACAAAACCAGTATTGGGAATAGTGAGTGTGGGATAAGCCCTTACAAATCATATCTGATCTCCAGAAGCAAGTTAGCTTGTGTGGAAATAAGGAATTATACCACCTTCACCATTCGCACAATTGAAAACAAGTTAACAAATTAGTTAAAATTTAAAGAAATTTACAAATAGAGGGACTTAAAAAATTATGGTCTTGTTTAAATTATTTATTAAACACCAAATAGATGAGATGAAATAAAAAATTAAAGACCAAGCATATTTCTCACAGTTTTTAACGTTTTAGCTTTCTCGTAACAATAATTGTTTAACTAAAATTTGTCATATATTATTTAACCGTTTGATTTATTTGAAATAATGGGAATGTTAAAGATTTGTAAATTCAACAATTGAAACCCACGTTCTTGTGTTATTTAATAAATCATCCTACACAAAGCATGTCTGTCTGTCTACCAATTAGGCACATCAAAAGGTCTTATTAATCTTCCTTTGCATAAGATATTAAGGTTTTCCTAAATGAAACTTCCTTATTAATATTTTTAAACGAATTAAAAATTTGCTAGATAAAGCTACAGGAGGGAGAACAGCAGAAAGAAAATACTTTTTCTATAAAAAAAATTCCATTTTTATGTATGAGAGAGTAATAAAACAGCATTTCTAATGCAAAACTTAGTACGGTCATTTTAAATATTTTTACAGAATAATCTAAATATTTCCTAAAATTGTAATAAATGTACCTGAGCTATTACAAGTTTTGGGTCTTTTATTGGTCCTTTATAAACATAAGCTGCACAGAACAATAGAAAAAGGTTTGGACAGGCCAAAAGCCCTGTGTGTTAAAGATTACATAGCCGTATCTTAAGATTATTTTCAATAAGTACCTATTTGCCAATTTTGTTTTATTTTAATTCTAAGAATTTCTTACAGTAATCGAATTATAAGTAGATACATACCTTCCTAACAAATTTTACCGAAAATGCGATTATAGGTTTTCCATTTAGTAAGGAGGTCCAAGTTGTGTATTTTTGACAGTTTACTAAATGTCGTTTAGTTGCAACTTGCAAGGTGTAGTGTGAATTCTAGTGTGAACATGGAAAATTTGGAAGGGCCGCGTAAACGACAAAAAATCGGTCCTTTAACAGTTAATGAAAAAACATTAATATTTAATTGTTTTAAATCATTTACAGACAAACATTTATGTAAAAGTGTTGATGACACAGTGGAATTAGTTAGTAGTACGCTTGGTGTTGGGAAATCTACGATTTACAGAGTTGTTAAAGAAGAGAAATGTGGCGAGTTTCAAACAGCACGTAAAGCTCCAGGAAAACCAAAATTTCAATTAGAACATCTTTTGAAAGAAAGACTTCGAAGGAAAGTGCATGCGTTCTTCTTTAGAAAAGAATTTCCGACAGTAGACAAAGTTCTTACCACGGTTCGAAATGATAAGGATTACCCTGAAATGAGTCGAAGCACACTATGGAAACTTTTAAAAGAAATAGGTTTTCTATGGAAAAAGCATTCCAGAAAGTCTATTTTAATAGTAAAGAAGCGATATTGTAGTATGGAGAAGAAATTACCTAAGGACTATAAAAGAAATGAGAAACCAAAGAAGAAATATATTTTATTTAGATCAAATATGGATCAACGAGGGACATAAACCAAATAAATTTTGGCAAGATGAAACTGTTACAAGTCAAAGACAGGCTTTTTTGAATAATTTATCTACTGGTTTAAATCCACCATCAGGAAAGGGGCGCAGACTAATAATAGTACACATCGGTAGTTCAAACGGTTTTGTTAAAGGTGGTTTATTGACTTTTGAATCTACTCGTACCGGTGACTACCATGAGGACATGAATGCTGATGTCTTTAAAGAGTGGTTCGAACAAATTATACATCTTCTTCCTCAGAACTGTATAATAGTAATGGATAATGCAAGTTATCACTCGAAACTTATAAAAAAATGCCTACAACCAAGTGGTTAAAAAAAGATTTACAGAAATGGCTAAATTCAAAGAATATTAAGTTCCATCCCGGTTCTGTGAGAAAAGAACTGTATCATTTGTGTTCCCTTCATAAAGAGAAATTCAAAAAATATGAAATTGATGAAATTGCAAAAAATCGTGGGATGACGGTGGTTAGATCACCACCATATCATTGCGAAGTAAACCCGATTGAACTGATATGGGCACAGATAAAGGGAGAAGTTTCAAGAAAAAATAATTCTTTTAAAATGAGTGATGTTAAACAGTTGTTTTTGGAGGCTGTAAATAATGTGAAGCCTGAAAACTGGGAAAAGGCAGTAAATCATACGATTAAAGAAGAAGAGAAAATATTACTGATGAAATGATCGAGCCACTCATTGTAAATATTGGTTGGGACAGTTCATCTTCTGATTTCGATTCTGATTTGGATTTGTAGGTAAGAAGTAGTTTTTATATTAAAATTATTATTTATGAACGTAACGTTTAAAAGTCAAAGTTTAAACCCTTATACCTACATAACCCGTTTGACACAATGTTCTTAACATACCTTGTGGAAAAATAAAACATTTTAGAAAAAATTGCACTTTTTTACCTTCAGCTGTATAGAAGTTATAAGCAGGTTAATTAGGTGAAAATATAAGTGTATACTCGAGGAATAACT